AATCAAAAGGTAAAACATTGTAGCAAACAATTTTGCGGTGTTGACTGCGATTCTTCAAATGATTGACATCAAATATTAAAAAACTATTTTTTTAAAAATCTTTCCTTTGTACAATGATAAAAAGATCTAACCGACTATGAACTATCAATAAAGAAAAATACTGAAAAAAAATTCTCACATTTTTTTAACATTATCGTTTTCCTCTTTTATTTTACATCTCTTAATTAAATACCTCTCAACAACTATATACAAATTTACTTGTAAACAGTGATGACAATCAAAACACTGGACATGAAGAAATTTAAGTTAAAATTCTTATTAAAAATTAAATCATTATTTCCAATTATTTTTTATTTTTGTAAAAAGATTTTTTTTTTAATTGTCAATTATTCTTACTAAAAAAAATAAAACATGCATACTCTTCCAAATAAACAATGTAATACTTACAATTTAAAAAGTTATAACTGAGCATGCGAAGCATGCCATGAATGATTACAATTTTTTTGTTGTAAAAAAAAAATTTATTTTTAAACAAATTACAAAATTAATATTTGTGTATCAGTACACGGGCGACGAAGTCGCTAAAAATCAAAATTACTAGTTATTAATAAAAAAAATGAGACCAAAGATTAGTGTTCTTATTACTATACATAGAGACGAAGTCATCCAAAGTCACTATTATTTATATAATCCGCATTTGAATTTTAAGGGTTACACGGAGTATTTATTTTAAAAAACAAGGTTTTATATATGATGATGGTACATAATGAGTTGTTATTATGTGATTTTATCGATTTTAGAATAATTTTTGCACATGTAAACTTGATAAATCGGACATAGCAATCAATCGTTTAAAGTATTTATAATATAAATAGATGTCCGGAATTATCGAGTCTACATGTTAATGTGTAATATAATTAATATAATTGGCATTAATTCCTGAAAAAATTATGAATTAGGCGGTTATGAGCCTTGACTTGTACTAGGATCGGGAAACTCTATTGAATATGACCTCCAACACTATGATTCGAAAATACTTTAAAAGAGTGGAGGTGACCGCAGCACTATAATAGTGACTTAAATTTAAAATCCAAAGAATGTCTGCCACCACAGAGACTACTCGTTAAATAATCAGCTTTCAATAGATTTTCCGATTCTATTATAATTGTAGAATTTCCGACAGACTGTTACTCATATTCATATTAACAATAATCAATGTTCAGACATTAATTTGATAAATAAATATTTTCCATTATCTTATGTCTCTTTAGAACTTCCCTTTACTTTTCTTTCTCCAAAATATGAACAACAGAAGATTTTTTCTCTTCATTATTCTATTATCACTTACTTCCTCTATTATAGTGACTGAGGTAAAAATGTTATGCGAAACTAGCTTCGGCAGCCTAAACTAACTTTGTCCTATAAACTAGATGTTTAGGCTTATAAGACTAGTTTCGTACAGCATCTTTAGACTGAATCCACTTATGTTATTTTAGGTGAATTAATGGGAAAAGTTGTACTATAATCTTGTCGTACTAATAAAAATTTTTTTATAGAAAAAAAAACACAGATTACCGTTATTGTTTCCACAGCAAGATGAAAAAATCAAAAATCCGATTCAATATTACACACTTTTTTTAATTAAACACAAGTATTTTATCTATCAACATATTTTAAAAATCCTACGAATATTAATATTCTTCTCGGATAAACACAATTTCTCATCCACTATTACAATTTTATTTTTCAATGATAGATTATAATAGTCTTCATTCTCATAAATGTTGTAAGTTAATGATGAATCTCAGGCACACGACTCATTCCTTTATTGAATAACTAACCGTTCATTGCACTTATAACCAATTAAATATCTTCTATGACTTGACGAGAATTTAAATGACAAGTTATTATGGATAACACCAACTTCAAAACCAATGGCAGTAAATTGATTTGTTCATTCATGCAAATCATAATGATAAAAACTGTTTATTATTCTGTAATTCATTTATGTGTTTATTTATTCAATGATTATTAATTAATATTTGTGTGAATCTAGTTTTGCAAAAGAACATACCAAACAGACTTGCTAAGTGGCGAATTTATAAAACACAGTCCAAAGACTCATTATCACAATAGATAATTAAGTGCACTACCATATAATAATGAAATGACTTGGCTTCCTTCGTTTACAAACGTTTTCATAATGACAATAATAGAATAGTAGCAATGTCTATTACAGCTTATCTTGATAACGACAAGACTATTCCATATATGCATCTTATTTCCATAATCAATAGATCGACATAATTCATAAATGAAACAAAAAGGTTATCTGTTTTTATTTCACGAGACTATATAATTACATCAGATGTTGATCGCGGAAAACACTATTTATGCTTATGGTGACTTTTTTAAAAAACAATTTTTTCTGTTTTTAACAAAAAAAAACAAAATGACCGAACATCAAATAGTTTCAGTAGATTCCAGTACACAAATAAACGAAAAAGATACCTTATTTCCTTATAAACTATTTACATCTGGTCTACCAAGACAACAAGATGAATCTTCATTAAAATACCATTTCAGGAAATTATTTACCGTCAAGACATTGAAGATTTTGGATAATGACAAAAAGGCCGAATTTAAAACACCTCTTACTTGGTTTGATTTAACAATGCTTGGCCTAGGTGGAATTATTGGAGGCGGAATTTTTGTACTAAGCGGTAAATTTTCTTTAAGAATTCCATGAAAAATTTAAAATTTGAATCGTATCTGTTGTCTGTCTGTATTAATTATTTGACATAACAGGCCAAAGTGCTGCGACTACTGCGGGACCAGCTGTTGTACTATCATTTGTTTTGGCTGGTTTGGTTTCGGCTTTTGCTGCATTATCTTATAGCGAATTAGCTTCAATGATACCTGTTGCGGGTTCAGCGTATACATACGCTTATGCAACTATGGGTGAACTAGTTGGTAAATTTATCTATCTTAAATTTGTATTTATTCGCTATTACAGATATCAAATTATTAATGAATAAAATGGTTTCATTTAGCTTGGATTATCGGTTGGGATTTGATTCTTGAGTATTTAGTTGCTGCCGCGGCTGTTTCAGTTTGTAAGAAAGTGAATTTGCATGGTTTTTCTTTTAGTTTTCACATTAAAATTTTTTATTTATTATAATATTATTAGCCTTCTCGGGATATTTTGTTGATTTTTTCAGCACTGCTTTCAATGTTAACCTTTCACCGTCATGGACAGCCAGCCCACTAATATTCAACTCTACAGCTGACTCATTTCAAATAATTCCTGGTTCCTATTTCAATGTACCAGCCTTTTCACTTATGATATTTCTCACAATCCTAATAATAGTTGGAATTAAAGAAACTGCAACATTCAATAATATAATGGTGACAATAAAAGTTCTCATAATAGTAATATTCATTCTCGCAGGGATTCCTTATATTAATAAAGAAAATTATGAACCTTTTGTACCACCTAACGAAGGACACTTTGATAAATTTGGAGGTACTGGTATCTTGGCAGCAGCAACTGTTGTGTTTTTTGCTTACGTAGGATTCGATGCAGTGAGTACTGTTTCACAAGAGTCAAAGAATCCTCGAAAGGATGTACCAATTGGAATTCTTACAAGTCTTGGTATTGTCACCGTTCTCTATATTTCTTTTAGGTATGTGATTCAAGGAGCAGGAAAACAATTGTTTTTTTACATGACGTCGCTTATTTATTTATCTTTTAAACAACAGTCTTGTTTTAACAGGCCTCGTGCCATATGCACAATTGGGTACTAGTGCACCTGCTGCGACCGCGGCTAAATTTATTGGAATGAGATGGCTTACAATACTTGTAGATTTGGGTGCTATGATAGGCTTATTATCAGTCGCTTTGGTTTGTATAACAGGTCAAACTAGAATTTTTTATGCAATGGGAAGGTGAGTTTTTTAATTTTTGAAATCAAGTGTCAATTACTATCGAATAAAAACAATAAACAAAATATTTGTATACATAGCGACAACTTACTTTTTCCAAGTTTCACAACAAAATTACACCCACGTTTCAAAACACCTTACTTAGCAACGGCATTAGTCGGAATAGCGGGTGCAGTGACGTCAGCAATCCTTCCGATTGACGTTCTAGCCGATTTAACGTCAGTAGGCACGGCATTAGCATTTTTCATTGTAAACATAGGTGTTACAATATTGAGATTCACAAATCCAGATGCACCTAGAGGATTTAAGGTGCCTGGTGGGCCATTTCTTTTACCAATTACTGGTGCTTTATTGACTTTATTGTTGTTAGCAAGTGCAAAAAAAGTTAGCATTGAAAGGTTATTCATTTGGATGGCGGTTGGGTTGATACTTTATGGATTATATGGTAGAAGATATTCTAAAGTTAATCAGAAGGCGTAAGTTAGCTATATGTAACAATAATAATAGTGAAATTTTAAACAAATTTTGATACCTATAATGAGTGATTCATAATTATCCTTTTTTTTTCTTGTTCATTTTTTTTATTGAGTAAATTTAATTATCATAAATAATAATAATTAGTGAAGATTAATTCCGCATTAACTTTCAAATAAAAACAGACTTACCTTAATAATAATAATAATTGATTACAAAAATCAGCATGACCTGAACCTTTATGAAAGCTTGCATATGTTTTTATATAGTGCGAAATATATATATACAAACACATCAACACTACTTCTTTGATATCCAAGTGTAAATAGTAACGTTCGATTGGCGTATCAAAATAGCAAGCGAACTTTCGCATCAAATCTTTCTGCCATTTCTTAAGAACTCGTGTCAAAGTTTTATAGTTTGCGATGCCAAATGGGAGGATTTTGCTTTGACATGCTATCTTTTTTAACTCCTAATGCTCTAGTGACCAATTAAAAAAAAGTAAAAAAAAAATAAAATACATCAACACTATTTCAGATCAGATGATATAATTAAAATGGAGTAGATGTATAAAAACAAGCGGTGAAATTTTCTATTGGGAAAATTAATGTTAGATCTTTTTTTACCAATAATAAATATATATATATCATTAGAGCAACTTCATCTCATTATGTGGGAATTATTCAATCGTGGTACACGTAATTTGTTAATATATGTAGAGACAGAGTTGTGAATTTTTGATGCAAATTGAAAATACCGAGTGTTGTTGCATGAGCTTATTCCTCAAACCTTCAAAGGGTGGTATGGGAATTTCTCACATACGAATAAATCAAATAATACGTGTATTCATTAATTTGTTATATCTATAATAGTAGTGACTAATAATCTTTTTATTGAATAAATTAAAATAACATTATTTTATAGCATAAAATTCAATTACCATCCTAATATAAACAAGAATAAATTATCATCAAGACTTTCACAAAAAAATTTTTTTTTAAAAAATTTTCATAAATACCTTCACCAAAAGAAGAATCATCTCTATTGGTGTAAACGTAATTATGATGGATGAACCTATTTGTATAAATGGCTTCGGGATGTATTTCATCAACAGTAGATATTTGTGATATTGCGTCACATAATTCATCTTCAATCTGTTTATCACCATCACCATCATCATGGATTGTTGGTTTTTGATTTAATAATAATAAATCATCATGATTACTATTATCACTTTTAAAAACTTCTGATGAAGATGTTAATATAGTAGCATCATCAAGCAATAAATGCCATCTATCCAACATTGTTAAAATTTCTTCAATAGTTGGTCGATTTTTTGAGCAGTTATCCCAACATTTTTTCATCAACTCGATAAAACATTTAGGTATACCGTTAACAACAATATTGGGTCGTAAACTGTCTGAAATTTCCAATTGTAACTTTGAGTCATGAGATCTATTATAAAATGCTAGTTGTTCTAAAAATATCTCCCACAATATAACCCCTAAACTATAAATGTCTGATGATTTTGTATATAAATTGTTATAATCATCATCCAATTTTTGTTGATAGCTTACATAATGATGTTGACTACTACCATAATCATTTCTTCCGTTTAAAATTTCTGGTGCAAGATATGGCAAAATTCCATATGTGCCATAAGATAATTGAATTATTTGATCAGCTGGAAATGATAATCCCATATCAGAAATATAGATTTTGATTCTATCATTTTCCATCTCTTTATTACAACCATCATCTATAGGTATGCCTTGTTCATGATAATTTATCAAAATGTTTCCACCGTGTAGATTTTGTTGGATCAAATTAGCAAAATGTAGTTTGCGAAGAGACTCAACAATTTCATGAATTAATCGTTGTTTTTCCTTCAATGTCATTGTTTTTGGTCTTGTTTTCATGAATTGATAGAGATTACCATGAGGCACATACCTCATCACAATCATGTAATCTTTGGTGATTGAATCTTGTGTTATTCCATATATTGGCAATAAACTTGATGTCTGAATTGATGCTTTAATATATATCTTGAGCTATTGATTTGAAAATAAAAAATTAAGAATAATGCTAACATTAATATCGTTATATAAATTTTTTTTATAATTTACCTTATTCAAAAACTTTGATGAAATATTTTCTGAATTATGGAACCTTTTTAAAGCAACAACCAAATCATCACCATCACCATCATTATTGTTATTATTAACTGACCTAATCCATATTGCACGATAAACAGTTGCAAATCCACCTTTACCAATTTCACATATATCTTTAAAACTTTCAAGATCAATCCATAAAAAAGTATATTCATTTTGCCCTTTAATACTTTTAATTTCTTGTAATAAAAGATCAATTTCTTGATTACCACTTGTCCATCTTGTAATACTGTTGTTTTTATTTAACTTTATGCATTTCATTGGAGTAAAACTTTTATCAAATTTTTTTACCTTACATGGTTTCTTATTAAAATGGAAATGGCCATCACTGCTGCTACTAATATTACCATAATCATCATCAATTACTCTCAATTCACCTATTTCTTCATCAGAAATCATTGACAATGATCTTTTTCTGGAGTTGGAAGAAAAAGATGAGGCCGAAGAGCTAGCAGTACTTGTAGTGTTAGTATATGAAGAAGAAGAAGAAGATAAATGTATATAGCTGCCTGTATCAATAAAATCTAATAATTCTTCTTCATCCAATTTTGTACCAATTTGTTTGTGTATATTTTTACAAGATTTCGAAATAATCCATTCTTCTTCCTCTTCCTCCTCATCGCCATTGGTTGATGATAGAATAACAGGAGTTGAATTCATTGATTAATAAAAAGATATTTGTAATCAACTACAGACCAACCAACTATCCTTAAAAAGTTACCTAGATAATTAATATCAAACAACTAATGAAAATTATCAACACACTAAAAATAAATCTTATCACACTTTTAAATAATTATTAATTGAAAAGAATAATATTAATAAAAACAATTATAATTGAGAAATATCAAAAGGTAATTATGCATTTTATTTTACAACTAATTATTAACATTAATTTTTACCACTAAATCACATGAATATCAAATAATCAATGATATAATTAATGGTCCCGCCGATCAAATATAAACTCTAAATATTTCAGGTTTTTTTCTATTGTCTGTCTCTAACATAATTTCATGTGACCCTTGTAAAGTTGTGTGCGGATTCCACTGCATATAAAATTTTTATATATAGTTTAATATGTTTAATATCCCAGATCTTCTATCAGTCGAACAATTTGTCACTCAAAACGATTTTCAAGTGTTGTTTTTTTGAAGAATAAAATTAGCCACAAACCTTATTTTTACTCCTTTTAACATAATTATTTTTCAAAATGTAAATTTTGCAGCGTTTGTTCCCCAAAAAATCCATAGATAATATGGGGTATACTGCAACAAGACAAAGTGAATCTTGTGTCACAATGAATTATACATTTTTTTTTAAAAAAAAGTTATAATTTCTTATTGCTATTTCACAATTGCAAAAACAAAACCAAATATCAAAATCCAATTATTATCGCAAAAAAAAATTTTTTTAACAAAAATGCTGAATCCTAGAAGGAAAACAGTAGAAGCAATAGAGAAAAGAATAAAAAATCTAAAAGGAATATGATATCAAAGATGTAAAATAATATTAGCAAAAGTAATAATATTAATATAGGATAGGTCAGAATGACAAATACTTATCAATGGCTTCCTATGCAATTGCTCTGGTGTTTTTATCTTATATTAAAATCATTACAGTCCTCCATAAGTGCACCCTTTATAAATGCACTTCTCTATGTTATGCATTTGCACGGTCTTTTCCTGATCCTATATAAATATAAAACCACCCTCTTTAAATGCACCTCGTGACTTTCACGTGACCATATTGCAATAATTTCCGTGTTACGCGCATGATGTTTTAATAATTCAAGCAATGAATTAATTCTTTCATTACAAGTGATCAATTCTTTCTTTTTTTTAATAGATATGAGAACAACAGAATGACAGAATAACAGGATAACAGAATAAGAGAAGAAAAATACACAAACAATAAATTTGACCATATTAGATGGATTGAACAAAAATGGAGGGTTCTACCTATTGAAGATCTTGAGATGACAGTATTTATACATGAAGTCGAAATTAAAACCCCAAAGTCAAAATGTTTCAACTTGAGGCAACTACATAGTAAAAATCAGGTTCAACCTTATTTTGACCAGATCTGAAATGGTCAAAATAGTTACGACTTCATGTATAATGGTATTGAGCCAATGATAATAGGTGCCAAAGAAGCTTTAAAAAGTAACATTTTTAGAATTTTCTTCTTGTATAGACAATTTTAATGCGACTGATAAATTTAAAGGTTTATTAGTGTCATGTGTAACCAATAACATACTTTAGTTCTGATTGGAAGGTTGACTGTGTGTATTTTTCTCTTATTGAATAAAACATTGCTTGTTGTTATTTAATCCTTTACTTGAATGCAAAATACCTTTGTTTCCACTATTGTATCATGTCTATGATGTTTGTGCAATATATTTGATGTTGTTATTTGTAAATAAAATTTAAGGAATCAATTTTATATGGGGCATACTGTAACAAAACCAGACAAAATGAACATTGGTATTACCAGTGTTGTCAGCGGATGCGGACATGGACACAGACTGTCCGGTCCGGGACTGTCCGTGTCTGTGTCCGTCACTTTAAATGTCCCGGACCATTCTTGGACAAAAATATAAATTTTTACCTACTACCTCTTAAAGCTTTGGTGAATC